TATATATATACACACACATATATATATAATTATTTTTTCTTTTCTGGGGCTGATTTGCTCCTTCATGTCCTGGATGGGGCGGCCCGGTGGTCCAGTGGGGGCGGCCCGGTGATTCAGTGGTTCGTGCATCGAGGATCTGCAGCTTGTGAGGATCCAGCGGATCCGAAAATGGATGGGTATATCTATCTATTGAAAAACCCAGCCGCTGGGGAGCGGTGCCCTCCCCTGGGGGTGCTCTGTTCCCCAGTGCCGGTCCCAAGCCCGGAGAGATGGGGAGGGTTGCGTCAGGAATGGCATCCGGCGTAAAACTTTTGCCAAGAAGACCATGCGAGTTGATGGGACGGTTTACAGGGACGGATGGAAATTACTGACTCGCTGTGGCGACCCCTGGACTGGGACGAGCCGAAAGGAGAAGGAGAAGAAAGATATCTATCTATTGAAAGAAAGATCTTTTGATAGACAGATAGGTATTTATAAAGTGAACTAACTCCTGAATATCACATTCCAACAAAAAACCCCCCCTCCAAAAAAAAAAAAAACACTATGTAAAGAAATGGGGTGTTAAATGGGCATGCATTATATTAATAACAACTTTATCCTTCAGTTCTATTGTCAACTTAACACGTCCACTCTTGACTTAAGTTTAAATGACCAAATATGTCTCCTTTGCCTATAAAGGGCGACACATAACCATATTCGTGCCAATATAAATTTAATATGGAGCAAAAAAGGGAACTGAAATCAGGGGTGAGTTGACATCCATACCACATTATAGACGTTAGAGCTGGACGAAACCCCAAACAGCTCCAGTACATGTGACACCTCAACCATACGAACAATTGATAGGACCTGAAGCAATGGGAGGGGCCCCCTTGCTAGTGGCGAGCGCGGTGGGGCGGCAGTTGGTCTCGCTCCTCGCATCAGTCAGAATGGAGATTGTGACAGAGTGGGGATCATTAAAGCGTTGGGTGGTCAGAGGCAACAGCCAGATGTCACTGAGGTTTCCTTCCTCTGCTGTGCCTGAGGGAAGGTGCCTGATTGCAACACTGGAGGTCAGACCTCTCCGGGCCATTCGGCAACATCCATTCAAGCAACAAACCTCCATTCCTTATCTACTTACAGTCACTCTCTGAAGCAGAAGTAGTTTCATTACCTTTCAAGAAACGTAAATAGCTGCAGAAATCAAATTAACACGATGACCATCCATCCATCAGCGTTTTATATAATTTCTACTGTATTCGCCTGGTCATGAGAGCCACATGAACTACAAAGTGTGGAGTTGGTCCTCCTTTGCAGCTTACACTCTTCTGGTAAGACTTTCCCACAAATCGTTGGTGTCTGTAGGAGATATATATTATTCCAGAAGAACATTTGTGAATAATGTATAAGTTGCCCCTCTCCCACTATATACACACATCATTGCGGCGTACTGGTACAGTAGCTCGCTAGCTCTGCCTATGTCCCAAAAATGCATCCTGCCTTCAAATAGGCCATTGGCAAGGCTGCTTTAGAGCAAATCGTTGATGGCCTTGAGTGCATGCAGAATAGCAAATATATATTTATATAAAAGCTGCCTTGCCTCGGTTTGCTTTTCGAGTGCCTCATTGTTGCACCATGGACAAGCCCAGTGATGACCCGGTGGGCTACATTGCAGCGACAGGAGGATTTAAGAGAATATTTTTGGGGGCCTGGACATGGCGTTTTTTTTTTTTTTTTTTTTTAAAGCTTTGGAAAGGTGCTACATGAAGTTGCACCAATTTTTTAGGTCGGAGAAGTGGTATTTTGACTGACAGTTGAACAAGGCGTGGTTTTTAGCGCATTCAGCCACAGCATTTGAGAGTGAACATTACAACTTTGTTTTTCATGATTTTGAAGTCTCATAAATTGAAATAAAAATAATAAAACAAGGTGCTCACAACAGTCTTCTCTGTGTCATGTTAAATTTTGAAGACATAGAGTAAAATTATTTCAAATAGGTTTGGCTTAAAGTTCAAATTTTTTTTTACCTTCATGCAAGATTTGTGCTTTTTTTAAAATTCAGTTTGTTCCCCTAATTATAATTATTCTTTGTTGTGGCTCTTTGCTCTGCTCATATTTATCATTTGAGATAGTGTGAAGAAAATAAAAGAACAGAACCACTCCAGTGTGGTTTTCACGAATCATCCACTGAGCACAGTGCTGCTGGAATAAAAGCCTGCCTCCCAAACTCGCAAATTGGTGGTCACCCGAAACATGAGGCAGCTTTTTCTGTACGATACTGCGATTAAGCATGTGATCGTTGCTTTTGGAAGTATCTCAGGGCTTGTGCTGCGTGTTCGGTCCAAAATGAGTCAAACTAGAGTTGCATGAACAGAAGCTACGTGGCAATTAATATAAACACGGTGACTCATCGGACTACTGCAAGGGCGGAGGGCCACCTCATGATGCTTTCAACACGAATAAGATGACAAATGGAATTACCCCATCGAGCTCTTTCTGCAACATTCATACAGAAATACATAAAAATATATACTGGAGGGTATGACAGAAGGACTACTTTTTACCCCAAGGCCCACATAAATCATCAGATTTGACTAACGGAACCATATGTTTTGAGAATTAATCAATAAATAAATACAAAACAGTAATAAATCCTCTTTGCCTGGTTCACCCATATTTCTACTGTAAGGATAATTATAAATGTGAGGAAAATGGTCGGAAAGTACAGGGTTGCCAGTGTGTATGTGTGTGTGTGTGTGTGTGTGTGTGTGTGTGTGTGTGTGTGTGTGTGTGTGTGTTTTACACTCACAGATTCTCGCTGGAAGCATCTGCTGCGTGAATACAAAGATAGGTCTTGTCCTGCAAATCATAATCATGAAAACCTATGTCATTAGTCAAAGCGATTATTGTGACGCCCAGAACAAGTTTTTGGAAAACAAGTTCTGCCTATTGGTGTTTCGTAAGTGTGTTCCTATTAATGTGACAACATATCAGTTCTTTCCAGGGCCGATCATAAAATAAATAAACAGAAACCATAAAATGATGCATTGACTGAGAAAACATTTTATTAAGATGCCACCTTCTCATATGATATGCTGAAAATGGGTTTTTGCTTAACCTTTATGACAGACATCAACCCAATCCCAGTAAAGGTCAGAAATCGTATTTTCTACTTCTCTTTTGAGGATTTATGTTTTTTTGGGTTTTTTTTTTTGGTCCGAGGGTAGAGGGACCGGTGAAACTGTAACTTAACTTTCTCTTCGGGTGAAACAAATGCAAAAGGAAATCAAATCTGTGTCTGGTGGGATGTCATGTGGTTGTACAGCATTTCTAGGTCATTAGGTACAAGCACCATTTTAATTTATGTGACGCGATACAAAATCCGGATTAGAAATTCTGCCTTTGCAAAAATAATCAAAATATTAGAAGCAGCTTTCAGAAGTTCTACACAACTACAAACAACAACCACAGTAACAATCATAAGGTTAAATCATGCAGATCAAATAAATCACGCAGATCAAATAATGTCAATCAAAATGGAACATTTATATAATTGTGAAGGAAATTTAGATGCATCTAATAATGGATTGAGTGTGTCAATATCCATGTATAATTAATCCTACAACAATGTATTTGTTGTGCACATAAACAACTATCAGGACACTTGCACCAACTACAGCTCAACACTTCCCTCTGTTGGCTAATAACACACAAAATTTTCAGCACGTTTGGAAATATGAATGTGTTTGGTTCATAAAGTGTTTGGGAGTGGACAATACTTCTACTACACTAACCTGAAATACGGGATGGGCATTGTTGTACACAGAGAGGATGTGGGTGATGCCATTCTGTGACAGGCTTTGTCGATTTTCTGCATCTAGGTCAAAGACAAGAAGAGGAGGAAGGAGCTCAGTTACTGAAAATTAATTTGGAAGTTGTGAGACAATGCTCGGCAACTGTGAGATCCAGTTCAGTCGCTTGTGCTGACGTAATCTGAACAGTGGCTAAAGTTGGAACTCTTGAAATGCCACTTTAAGTGGCCTATGCACTGACAGGCACAACTACATGTTAAAGGAACGTCACACTATTATTAAGGCACATCAACTAAATTCAAATGGAAACTATTCTTATGGAATAGTGATGCACGAAAGGAATAACTAGATAAACATAATATTTCCCCCTCTCAAACCAAGGAGCAGTCAAATAGTATATTCCCCAAAAAAGAAAATGAGGGCCACAGCATGGCTCCGTTTCATTTTGCGGTTTCGTTTTTTTCAGCAGAGATCACCTTTAATTGGACAGCACCATTCCAACATTCTATATTAAATGAAATCTTATCTAAAAATTGAGAATAACTTGTGCGGCAGCAAAAGAATATATCTTTCTTCCTTACCTCTTATATTCCCAAGGTAAAGGCCATCAACAACCTGTGAAGCAGAAGTCACAGACATGTTGCACTCTTCTTAGTCTCTACATGATAGTCAGGCTTCAAAAGGTTCCCCTAAAAAGGAACAAATGTCCCAAGCTGAGCCTGATTGGATTTCAGGCTTAAAGCTTAAGAATCCACAACGGGAAAGGCAATGTTCCCCTCAGCGACATACAAGGTCTGAAGCACTAAAAGGTCATCCCAGAGAAGAGATGAGAGGTGAGATCACTGGATATGGTACAACTTTGACTACACTGGTTCTCATTCTTTTTACACCAAGTAGGTACCATCTCCAAAAATATTTAGCTCTCCAAGTAATTAAGTTCTCCAATGAATTAAAATGCTTTCAAGACTAATGATCAGCATGCTCATATGCTAAGACGCAAGTAAAGGTACCAGATGTCAAATCTTATACTGACTTGATCCCATTTTTTGATTCATTATTCAAGGGTCAGAGTTCAAGTGAAGGCCACAGAGTGTGGACTTCATGTCTTGCTGAATCAGGATGTCACAATTGAGTGAAAACAAAATTAATCTGATTCGCCATATTCCAAGCATCATGTCAATCTGTTGCTTAATTACCGGTACTTCATTCAAACCGTATCAACCTAATCTGGATTTTTTTTTTTTTAATCAAATTGCTTTAGTACTGTACTTGTGAACGAGAAGGTAGTCCAGATTCATGTACACAGTGATATTGCTGCGTATAACTAAAGATGTTTTTAAAATTTGCTTATCTCTTTCAGTTAAATCTTGAATGAAAAGTTTGTCACATTTATTTTGCCGAATGCAACATTCATGGATACAGGCGTAAAACACATGACATAATTTAGCATCTGCTAAAGCTAGTCAACATCCTGCTCGAACGTAAACTCGATTACCTACGAGCACACTTTTAACACGTCGCCCACAACACTGCAACATGAAACACACTTTTAACCTACCTTATTCATTCCATTGCCCATGTTGGGTTAGTCGTTCTGTTTACTCTCTGAAAGTCGCGCGTTTCTTAACACAACTGTGGCTTCAAAACACAAGCCTGGGCGGAACTTCGAATTATGACCGTATGAAGGTTAAATTACATTAATTTAGACTTCTGGGGTAAACGACGGAATTAAAAGAAGCTGAGATAGAAATGTATGTATCCCTGGCTTGCAGTCCTGTCTTACAGTTCCAACAATTTTCGTCTTCCTGATTGTTTTGACTGAAGCAACTTGTCTTTCCGGTAAGTGACGTCATAGCACAGGACAGCTGTAGGACTTTTTTTAAAAGCGCGCTTTTAAATTTAGGTTGTCACTGAATGAAAATACTTTTTTTGTTGATTGTACTGTATTTATCGAATATCGTCGTAAGGCATTACCGACCAGGTCTCAATGTGTTGTCAGTATATTAATGAGCAAAATGAATACTGCACAGCAGGCCTGTTCTCTGAAGTCCAGGTGGTCATCAACATGGCACTCTCAGAGGCCTCGGGTACAATTTGTGGACTGATGCATAGGACTCCAGTTTTAGTGAATTGGGTCGTTTTTTTTTTTTTTTCCAGTATTACATGTGTCAAACACACAGCGGCCAAATATGTACTGAGAGCTTTATGATTATATTCACAAAATGGGTTGTCCCATTTTTCCCCCAGACATTTTCAGACACACATTAAGGATTCATATTTTTATATTTTATTTCTGTAATATACAATGAACATAAGAGGAAGAGGTCTTCCACAATGATCACACAGAGGTAAAGTGGATGGCTGATCAATACAGTAATGCAGGCATTATTGGATCTTTCCATTGCTCAGCTTTTATTTTCAAATGTGAGACGTGGTCCGCTTGTTCATTTACTTCTTCCATTGCTTGTTTTCGTAGTCCCAGTTTGATGAGAAGCCTTCCACGGGGTTCATTCTCATGTCCAGCATCCTCTGCAACTCTTTCTCCTTGTACTCTCTCTCAAACGTGTGAGGAACTGGTCCATACACTGGAAAGACACAAAGAGAGACTTATCAACAACAGTGTAATTATTGTGTACGTTTTTTCAGGGAATTAAAGACAAAAAAAATCATATTATAATAATGAGAACGTTTATCAACTTACCAAATTTCCTTTGCCAGAACACCACCAGACCAGTGAGGCCAAAAAAGACAAACACCCCACCAAGTACAGTCTTCCACTCAGATGATCCTTGGTTCATCTCAGCAAAGCTCTGCTTGAAGCTGATGCGATACACTAAACAGGGAGGGAGTGAATGAAGTGTTACTATGCATTGATGCAACATCGATTCGCCTTCATCGATGCAAAGACTTACATGCTATCTTCTCCTCATTAGAGAGTGCGGCCCATGAGCCTTTCTCCTTCTCCTTGAGCGACTGCTGCTCTGTACTCAGGTTCTGCACATAGCTGACATCGGGAAGGGGGTTCTCCCGTGTGTCAAAGTAACCAGGGAGAGTGTAGCTCTCCACCTTGGCAACACCTACATCAACACACAAACTCATTAAGACAATGCTTTAATAAATGTACTCTTTTGCCAGCTGCCTAAGATAAAAGAAGCTGGATTTTACAGTAGCACCTATTTGCCGGCTTTAAATCACTGTCCAGTTAAAGACCCACGTTTGAGACTGTTGGGTTCAGATAAGGAGCCAGGGTACACATGACTTAACTCAAAATGCCATCCTAAATTTGATTTGTTTTCCTACAAGCCACAGCTGTAACGCTAGCCTAAAATGCCTGTCACATTTAACTTACTGTTCACAGTATCAAGATTTCTAACATGTTTGCAATTTTTTCCCCATTGGGAAGATTCTCAGTATTCCAGGTCATGGTAATCTGCGAAGGTTGAACAAAGCAACTGGACTCGTCTTGCTGGTTCTATGTGTTGTGACTTTTCTCGATTTCCAAAAAGGTTAAAAACAAAAATGCTATAGGCTAACAATAAATTGAGTACATCATTAAATGTGATATTCACCATGACTTCCACGTAAGCAGACAGACGTGGAAATGGCACGTTTGCCAACAAGACTCAGGGCTCTGGTTGCCAGCATTCTGTGGAATAAAAATAAAAAACAATTTATATATACATGTCACGGTTGATATGCAAACACTGAGGGTAGTTGTTGGCAAAGTGTGTGTAAAGGGCAGGTACTGTACTTAAAAGCCAGGCACTTAAAAGCCACCACAGGAAGTGCACTCGCAATCAGAAGAAATCATATGATGATTTACAAAGCAATGCCCTTGATTTGATTCTTACCTACTCTGCAAAACAGAACAAAAAAAGAAAAACAAAAACAGTTAAATAAAACAAACACCTCAATATGATGAAATGCGGCTACAAACCAAACAAACATACTATCCATTTTATTGACAGTGGCATTTAAATGATCAAAACTTTCCAGAATGTTAGACACTACTTTAATTGAATGTCGTTCAATTGTGCAGTTTAAGTTATGAAATAACTGGTACTCAAATAATTTTCGTATTTCACCACAAACAATTTTGGGTGGTACGAAAAATAATCGTAGGCTGACTTCTCGTATTGAGGTTTTCGCATTTATGCCTGGCTAACGTTAGCATTAGCCGCACACGCAAGGTCAAAGCGCCCCGGCTTCATTCAGTCACACCTGTCTTGCTATTGGTGGTGTATCACAAAACAATGCATGGTTTGCAACTTGCTTCGCTCGTGGAAAACAGTGTTCGCATGAGGGAGTGTGGAGAGAAAAACACTAGAAACACGCTCCAAATCAAATGTCGCAGCTAAATGCTAACAGCTAGCGCTAGCTTCGATGGGCTTTGACAAAGTCACCCGTATGCCGTTGCAGATTGCGGCCAAAAGTGGCGACAAAGGTAAGATTAGTGCATAGATTTTGAAATTAAACGGTGAAAACGCAAAAAAATCTCGAAATATGAATTTGAACTGTGAGAAACAAGAAAGATGTGGTTAAGGACCTTACTGTTTTTTCCTTGCTGCTGTCCACCGATATTCTCAGAGGAAGTGCAGCCGACCGGAAGTACTTTGTTTGTCATATATTACAAATCTGTTTACGACGGGCATTGTCATTTTACGGTACAGCATTTTGGTTTACGGTCTCACCGGTTCAGTTACCAGTGTGCTCGGAGGACGTAAGATAAGCTTAAGTTTACTTTGAGCTGATCTAACCACTTTGTTGTAGACTGAATAGAATCAATTATTATTAAAAACGGCATCAATTTCTTGTGGCAATATTTAAATGTTTTACACTTACTCGTATGGAACTTAACCACATGCTGTGCTACTTTTCTCCTGGTATGATATGCGATATATTTAGCTAACTTGTCAGAAGTATTTTTACGTCGTGTGGCACAAGAGCCTATCCAATTCCTTCACAATCATGCCTATTCAGCTGACAAGTCAGGCATACTGTAAAATGCTCTTGCATACCGCCAAGTATCCGCACAGCGCCGTCAACGGGTTACTGGTTGCAGAAAAAGCCAAGGCGAGAAAGAAAGACAGTCTCCACGATCCTGTCTTGTGTGTGGACTGTGTGCCGCTCTTCCACGGTACTTTGGCTCTTGCACCCATGCTCGAAGTTGCTTTAACACTGGTGAGTCCTTTTTTTTGTCACTATCAAGATATATTGCATGTATTATATTGCTGATCTCGACATCCTGTGTTTATTTCAGCAGTTTATAGTGTACAGTATTGATTAATGTCAGGTAAGACGTTTTGTTTTAGTGTTTAAAAACCAAAGTCAAGGCTAAAAAAAAAAAGCCGTAATTCACTTATGTACCATCAAAACATAATTGGCCCCACATGTACCACAGGAACAACAAAGTCAAAATACCATAGTTAGGCAAATCGTGGTGTTTATAAAAAAAAAAAAAATCGCAGGTTCAGTCAATCTCAAATTTCATTGAACATTTTTGTTAACTCTGCGTTTCACTGTAGCTAAATTTAAAAAATGGACTCAAAGATTCAAATGTATTGCTCATTTTAGTTCAATAACAAAAGTTTAAATACATGTTTGTAAATTAACATTTCAAAAGGATTAAATACAAATTATTGTACTTAAAAGCGAAATACATCTGAACTGTAAATGTACTGTCATCTATTAAAAAAACTGCAACCGATACAATACTGTGGACAGTTTGAACATTTAATTCAGTGATTTTTTTTTTTTTTTTTGCATACCACGAGGGGGACTCAGATGATTTTACTATTTTACTGCTATAGGACATTTCACATCACGTCACACATCGTCCAGGTGCCGTTTCCGGGTGGCTAAATCACAACCAATCTCCGATGGGACTAGTTAACAAATTATTATCGTGATCGGCATGGTTGAATTCATGATAGCATTCTCATCCCACAGCTCTGCTATTGATTATCTCCATGTGGAACAAATTTCAATATTTTGGACCTGAAATGTTTCTGGATTGAGAAATGTAAATGCTCACCTGCCCAACTCAGTAAGAGTCTTGTCTTGTGTTACTTTGTCCTCGTAAAACAATCCCTCAATACTTATGTTCTTCTCAGATTGACACTTGGTGTAAAGAAAACAATTATGTTATCGCTGGATACTATCAAGCCAATGAACGCACAAAGGATTCAAGGTAATGAGAACTTTTTTTTTAAATTAACCAATAGAAACACATGTAGAGTATTTTTCTAGTTATTTTTTAATCCTCTCCTTTGCAGACCCAACCAGGTTGCAGAAAAAGTTGCAGCAAGGATTTCTGAATGCTTCAGTGAAGCCGCAATTGTTATGGTAAAAATATAATTTCAACTTTTTTTTTTACCCATTTTCCTTACTGTCCCTCTCCCTTATGTAACAATGCTGTACAGTAGACCCACGTTCGCCTCCATTTGTTGTTCTGCATAAACTTCTGTTACAACTGCACGTTTAGTTTTTTTTTTTTTTGCTCGATCCCGCAGTATATAATTTGAATGTGACTCTGAACACTGCCAAAACTGGTGTAACAACAGTCTTAGTTGTTTATCATTACCTCCAATCTTGAATTTAAATTAGTTTTTTCCAATTGAGTTGTTCAGGTTGAAGGTAACATTAATAATGTTTTTTTTTTAAAGGTTTATATCAGTCTCATTTTTTTTTTAATCACATAAAGCTGGCATTTGAATATGGGTGTGTAGACTTTTTAAATCCACTGCATTTTTTTGTGTGCTTGTTCTCAGGTGGACAGCAGCAGATTAAAAATGAGTTGCCGCGAACCCATTGTGCTCATTTATGACCTTCACGAAAATAAATGGAAAAGCAGGGATGTCAATCTGTAAGTATTTCTCATACTTAAAGCATTCAAATCAAGTCATGGGTCAAACGGTAGCTTGCCTTGAACTGTTTCCCCACGTTTCCAGCGACTCTTTCGAAGACTGGAGCGAAGCGCAGAAGATCACGTCAGCTCTTCTGGAGGGAAGGTCCTACGAGAACTTGATCGACTTTGACAATCACCTGGACGACCTCAGGAATGATTGGACCAACCCAGTGATTAACAAATCTGTCCTGGACCTGTGTTAAAACCGTCGGTTGTGTAGGCTTAACAAGCGCATGGTGACAGCTGCTTCTGCTACCTGTGGCACGGGAGCACATGATACTCAACCGGACAGTTCCAGTTTAACTTCTGGTACTGCCCAGAATATGTGGAACCGACCTTTGATTAGGCCAACTGATCTCAAGGGCAAGCACCTGATGTGCACTTTGGGCAGGCATTGCAGACATAATGTGTCTCGATGCATTTTTTTAAAAAAAAAAAAGAGAATGCTGTGTCTTTAATCATAGTCTTAAATAAATAATGAAACATAGAAAATATTTGATCGATTATGTTGTTCTTTACTTCTAAATGAAGTAGCCATACTGAGATAAAATACAGTGGTGCCTTGAGAGATGAATTTAATTCGCTCCGTGATGCAAAACAAAAGTAGTTTATTTTAACAAGGAAAAATAGCAAACTAATATTTTACTTTATAAATACATAATTATGAGATAATTAAATAGGTTGTTTAAAATAAAATAGTTGGGGTCAGTTTGTGTCAATCCAGTGGATATTGTGCTTCATCTTCTGGGTGTCTTGGCCACATGGGGGCAGTATATTACAGACTAAGACACAATGAAGACTTTCTTACTGACTCAGTAAGCTGCAGTAATATTTCTTCCCCCCCCCCCCCCCCCCCCCAATAGTATGAGTGTTTTTTTTTTTAATATTGTTTGTCTACATTTGTTGCTTCGTTTGTGTTCAAATATTTGTGGCCTAAAGGATAAAACCATGGTGACACCGTTATCTGCTTGTTAGCCTGTCTATGTATTTTGACATTATGTGTTAGCATTAAGCTCACAGACTTTAGTAAGGCATAATCAATGCCAGTTTGCTTACGTAAACAAGTAATTGTCTTTGTTTTATGTTTAGTTTGACAGTAAACTTCAAGTGAGTGGCAAATGTCAATCATCTTGAAGCTACTTTTTTGGAAAAACGGTTGACTATCTGCCAAATTGCTGCCTGCTGTCAAGTCAGCTGAATTGAGTTCACTTGCCATCATAAAGCACTTGCAAGTCTTACAATACAATACAATACATGCTGATTTATATAGTCTTGGCAAAAAAAGTCCCAAGTCGTCGGATCTCTCGTCTTTCAAGGCACCACTGTAAAAGATTTGAATTTGTAGGATATTATTGTATTTCCACTAATATATAATTACCTGTAACGTTTTGTTGTATTGTTTTGACACATCCAAAACATAACATTGTTTTAAAATGACTGTACTGTATTTTTTTGTATATGCACCAGCAATGACAGACTGATATTTTGAAGTTATTCAAACTCCTCTCAAGATCACAGAGTGTATTGCTTTGTTTTATGTACTGTATGTTTGCTCAATAGAGCCGTTGTAATTCTTCCATCTAAAAATCATTAGACATTGTACTTTATGAATGTAAACATACAGTGCAACGCTTGTATTTGAGAATACGGACTCTGTCAGCAATAGCCTGTAGCCAGTCACGTATGATCATGACATTTTTACAGATTATTTTTCAACTGAATGGTCTCTGTAACACTCAAGGTACTTGTCTAGCAGTGTCCTATCATTGGGAAGATGTTCAATTAAATCACGTCAGCTTCAGGGGAATATGAATTAAGATTGTGTTTTGCTTTGATTTCTGCTGATTAAACAACGAATGGCACTCATTTAACTTTCAACATTTTGGGTGGTAAAATATGGAATGGTAAGCGACTTGCCATTGAGTTGATCAGAATGTTCAAATTCAAACAGCACTTTGTAATACAGTACATCAATACTGTATTTAAAAACATTTAAAGTTTTACATTTATCATTTATTAAAGCTAATACGTTGAATAAATAATCACCCCCTCCCCACCCATTAGTATCATAAACATATAAGTACTACTATTGAATTGATTTTGTACTTTATAATATATATTTTTGGGGAGGTAGCGGGGTGGTTGGAGATAAAACACGTTTATTTCTTTGATTTATCACGGGTTAATTAAAAAGTACAAACGTTTCCTAAGAACAATCCAATTTAAATGAATACAGTTGGTTGCTAAAAAAGTGGAAATAAAAACAGTGTTTTAGCAACATGGTGTATTCCATTTTATAAGTCGATCGATTTTGTTACAAAAGTGATATTGAAAAGTACTTATTTTATGTTAACTGTTCTGTTGACCGCGGCGCGGGTACCCGCAGAAGCTCCTCTCTCTCCTGTGGCTGCACTGTGGTTGAGAGGAAAGAAATTTCATCTGTGCTGTATGTTGCACATAGAGCATATTTGACAATAAAGATGACTTGACTTGATTTGACCATAGATGAATTCACAATGCCATGTCACCACATATCTTGCTCAACGCTGACATCTGGTGGTGTTTTCTCATGTCTGACGCGACGCATTCTCATATCGCCTTTTACTAGTCCACCCATAGACATGTGTATGTAACTGTATACACGGTCTCAAACGAAACGTAATTTTATCTACCATGTTGCATGTATCGGATCTGCCTTTAAGAGCAAACGGACCAAACTGTAAAGGGTCAATTGACAAGATGCACAGTTGATCAATGCCCCCATTTACACACGCACATGCATACATTCATTCATACGCATATAACAATTGTGATCATTTTTGCCGGTTTAAACGCATTCATGACATTTCAATGCTTCACTCGGTAAGTCAGGGGATCGCTGTATGAGCTACAAAGACAGCCAATTATATAAATATTTTAAGTTCTGTTAGAATTTTGCCACATCCAATGTGGAGGTGACAACAACGTACGATGTATCACCAAAGACGATATCTCATCATCACATAGTCCACCCACCCGTTCGACGAAAGGTTGTGACGTCATCACGCTGTGGCATCGTTTAGCCAATCGCGGCTCTCTATCTCCTGGTACAGTTCCTGTTTGCTGAAAGTCTCCAGCCAGCGCGGGAAAGTTGATGCTAGCAATGATAAGCTATCAAAGTTTTCGGATGCATTTCTTCTCTGTCTAAACGGTCAACTATGGACCCTTCGGAGGTCGAGTTCCTCGCCGAGAAAGAGTTGGTGAAGATAATCCCAAATTTCAATCTCGACAAATTATATTTGATCGGGGTGAGTACCTCTGTCAATCACTCATGATTAGCCTATTACCAGTTGCATTCAGCCAAAACGATTGTGTCGAGTACCTTCTCGGTAACAGGCAGAGTGCGTTGACCTTTGCAGGGGGACCTGGGACCTTTCAATCCCGGTCTGCCGCTGTATGTCCCCGTGTGGCTGGCCCTCAACCTAAAACAGAGACAGAAATGTAGAGTCGTTCCTCCTGACTGGATGGATGTTGGTGAGACACGCATTTTACGCTACGCGCTTGTTTAATTCAAGTAATTTTTGTCTTACCTGCTCTTGTGACTTTCCCATTATGCCTTGACGTTGCAGAGAAACTTGAGGAGATGCGAGAGCTTGAGAGAAATGCGGCCACCTTCACACCTGCTCCCTGTCCATACTACATGGAGCTGACCAAACTGCTGCTCAACCAGTCAGTCTTAGTCAGCCAACATTTTCGTTTCACTGCATCTGTACGATACCCCGAAACACAATCGTGCTTTTGTGTATGTTTGTTGTTCACAGCGCGTCTGACAACATTCCCAAAGCCGATGAGATCCGCACGCTGGTCAAAGACATCTGGGACACGCGCATTGCTAAACTCCGCCTTTCTGCAGACAGCTTCATCACTCAGCAGGAAGCTCATGCCAAGGTCAGAACGTCCTTTTATTTTGATGCAGGGGCGTTTCCAGACCTCTTGAAGTTGCTTGATGTGCAGCAAAGACTCGTCAACTGTAATTTATTTATTGTTTGCGATGATCAACAGTCCTTCAGAGTCCTGCAGTCCCTTGACAGATCGACAACAGTGTTGTCTGAAATCTCCTTCATAGGGACCCTTTGTAGCTGATGGCTAATAAGGGGCCAAAGAGACTACTAAAAAAAACCCACGACATGTCAGGATTTGGGAATCTACCTACCAAGAACGCTTACTTAAAAAAACGAAGAATATTTTTGGTTGTCCATCATCCTTTCTTTTGTTTGCTTGTTTGTTTTTATGGGGGGCTCAATAGGTCTTGCCTGGGGCAACATCGACACTGAACTACGTTTTGAGGCTGTACTGTGCTCTCTCTCTCTCTCTCTCTCTCTCTCTCTCTCTCTCTCTCTCTCTATATATATATATATATATATATATATATATATAATTTATTTTTTTTAACCACAAAAACCTGGCACCGTTGTCAAGAAGCACATTGTCACAAAGAAAGGAAATGGGCCACGTTAAAGGAGAGAGTGTGGATATTTTGAGAAGCTGTTGGCAACAATGCATTGCCCCAATTCATTTACAACACGCGGGCATTTTGGCGACAGAGACTCTTTGCTTTTTACCCACAGGTACATATGAAAATATAGTTAAGTAGTATTGCAAAACACACTGCAGTGTGTCCTTGAAGAGCGTGTGACCGATTTTCAAGTTTTTGGATATATGACCAGTCAGGATTTTTTTTACGTTTAAAATACAAGTGCTAAAAAATAGGCTTCAAGCCTTTCATTGCCATTCCGTTTAGTTTGTTTTTAAAACCAACCACATAGCTTTGCCTTAGAAAAGTCTGTTTAGCTTAATGCCAACAAACAAAAATTGCCATAGACTGGCCCACAAACAGCATCAGTGTCAGCGTTATAACCCTCGAAGCAACAGATAATTGAACACACACTGTGGAGGAACAAACATGTAGACAGACATTCTAGTAACACTCATAAGCATATACGGTATTCTATATCCTCTGCGAAGAATGACGAACGTGACTGAGGAGCTGAAGACCATCTCCATGTAACATTTAAATGTATGAGGACCCCACATTGTGCTGGGTGTCAGTGGGCTCAATCTGCTGCTCTTTTTCTACAGCTGGACAACCTGACTCTGATGGAGATAAACACCATCCGAGGCTTCCTCCTCGAATCGCTCAACTGCATGTACAAACTACGCTCCAATCTGCAGCCGGGTTCCAGTAAGGGGCCGCTTGCGGATTATTGAAGGACACGTCTCGATGCTTCAGTCAACTAGGAATTAAGCACCGTTGGGACAATGGTGTTGGACTTCTTTTTAGCATGAACATCATTTTCCAGACTTCTTTGGCAATGTCCATTACATGTATGTCTGCTCATTTTAGGACTCTATCGAATATGAATACTGTAATTGAAATGCAGCGTGAATGCTAAAATGTGATAAATAATGATTTCATTAAGATTTTTTTTCCTGGTTTTGATTTATGGAAAGCTATTCGAGCATTTATTTGGCATCTTAGACTAGTGTGGCAGAACTGCTAGTTGACTTTGGTACAACTAGAGACACACAAAACTCGTTGCATTTTATACCATTACTATTGACACACAGTTAACCAGTGTACAACGTTGCCTCAATAGTAATTTCCGTACTTGGCAAAACTCAGGGACAAACCATTACCAAACCTTTGAATTTGACAGAGACCAAGGTATATGAACATTTTTGAAATATTTTATTTTCTTTTTTTGTCTGAAATCACAGCCATATATTCATAAATACCTAATTACTACATTCAACAAAGAATATATTACATTACAATGGATTCAAACAAACAATTCTTTTGAAAACAGGATTTCACAGCATCTAGACATCCTTCGCTGAGTAATGGCGCCATGGCGTGGCCGTGCGTGGATGAGGCGGGGCTTTACACTGTGTACTGTGCCACCCTGTCACGCTCACCTGGCCCTCAAACAAACAGGCAGCGATGCTCCCGACTTTTAGTGTGGGCGGATGTGAAACGTTTGAGCTACAGTTTGATCAACGGCGGTCCAAAACAAACGAGGCACTTATTCATATGATGAGAAAGGGGGGTGTTGTGCTTCCGTTTTGATGATTTTCCTTCTGCACGTTTTCGAGACGGACTTAAAACAATGAAATTTGAAATCGATGAATGTGATTGGTTGCTACAAGTCTCAAGAGTCGAGCCACAGATGAGGCTGTAAACGGATCCGTGTTTGTGTCATTTTCAGTTTGTTACATGTTGGCAACGGATTGGATTATTAGGGATGATCCTTGGACATCGCATGTGGGATAAGATGGGAGTCTGTAGGCTTTTTAGCTTATTTCCATCCTGGATGGTTTATTTTTATTTATTTATTTTTTTTGGCTAAATCATTTGAATTTGAAATTGTTTGGCACTCAGCCCCTCGTGCTTGTGGATAAAAAGGCTTGGATCTGGCAAAGGCCTGTCACTTGATGCTATTGGATGTGTGTTCAGGAGGAGTCTTCAGGAACCAGCAATATCAGCTGGCCGCTTTACTTCATGTCTATTGAAGAAAACATTTTTTAAAAAATCAAGTCTAAGCCAGTCAAGTAACAAAAACTGGTTTGTGTTCACACTCCAGTGGGAGGGAACCATTTTGTTAAGTAGGCCGAGTAGCTGAAATGGGCATCACGCTGTGCTATGAATAAAAAGGTGGCAAGGGCCAGCGTCGGCACCTCGGAGGAAGCTTCACCTCGTGGCGGCTTGCTGCCGCTGAAGATAAGATCCCGTGTTTACTCTCCCTCTCTTCAACGTGTTGTCAGAATAAGCTGTCCTGGCCAGCAGCAGTACAAACACTAAAAGCAAGGCCGTCTTTTGCAAACCCCCCCCCCAAAAAGCATAAACGCATTAAAAAAAAAATGGCAGGCTTCTTTTCTTTTCAAAGAACAATGATTAAAATAACAAACTTACAAAAATTCTTTTAAGTCTTCATATTATATACAATATAAGGCTGAAGCACCTTTTAAAATTCTTATTCTCAAATTGTCCTATTTTGAAATAAAACATTTTGTTAATTATTTCCCCCAAAATGTGCATTTCAACATTCTGTCCAAATTCAAATATGTCTTTGTTGTTACGCAGTACCACCAGGTAGTTCTTCAGCTATTATTCTTAAGTGCATGTCCAGTTGGAACGCGCGCACTGCCGCCGCGATGGCGTCACTTCCTGAAATGGCTGCGAGCGTTCCTTTGGACTCTCGGAGTGTCTGTTCTCCCTCGTTGGCAGGATTGTCTGTTTGGGTGGCGGAGAAGAAGAAAGAGAAGAATGTATGTGTGTGTGTGTGTGTGTGTGTGTGTGTGTGTGTGTGTGAGAGAGAGAGAGAAGCAGGACTTCATCTTGTCCCGCCATCTTCGCCAATCTCCTTTCGTGGCTACGTTGGCACACGTTAGGCTTGTGGCGCCGACTTGCCCTTCCTTCGCTTCTCCACCAAAGGGCCCAGTGGATTAGCGTAATCAATGGTCAGTCTGGGGGAGAAGTATCTGGGGGAGGGGAGGTGGGGCATCGGATGTCTTTTTTTTCTTTTCTTTTTGGAGGGGGTGTCACCTGGGAGAGTAGCCTTTGTAATGTCCACCTCTGGGCCAGTGCGTCTGTGGCAGAGTCAAACACTTCCTGAAGTGCTCCAGCTCTGATTGCAGCTTCTCTCTTTCTACGGCCAGCTTCTGCCTCTGGGACATCAGCTCCTGCAGCACCAGGAAGCAGTTTTAAAAATGCAATTGGTGTCAGGGATGTACTTTTTTAACGAGAGTGACTGTTTTTTTTTTTTGTCAACACCAAAACTTGTGCTGTCAATTCAGAGCATACAACCTTATTTTTGTGAAAATGAACATAACGCAGCAACACTGCACAGGCGCATCATATTAGAGCCACCCAGAGTACACGGTATGGCGCCAGAGATTTAATTAATGAAGGTATCCATCATTTTGTTTGAAATCATACCCATGACAACAGTTTAGAAAACTATTTTGCTTGATTCAAAGGATCCTAGTAACTTCTAGAGCAGGGATGGGCAACTTAAATGCTGCAGGGGTCCACAATTTTTCCTCAATCAGTGTGACTGGCGGGCACCATATAGGACCAGACACCTCCTAACCAGATACTGTATATGCCAAAATGTTTAAATATGGACAAAATATGTGCATACATGCAAAATATGTGCTTTTAATATATTCTATTTTTGCTAATACATTTTCAAGGCATGTACACAAGATGAACTCTCCTAACCTAAAAGTGTTTGTGTGTGTCTCTGTGTGTGCGCCTTACCCCCATGGTATGCGAGAGCTGTTCAGCAGTGAGACTGAGGTTGTAGTTTTGAGCTTCCAGCCGTCGACAATGGTTCTGCAATACTTGTCGCTCCAGACTTTGTTCTGAGAAAAAAAACACAAAGAGTGCGAGCTGAGAAAAACAAACGCGAGGGCCGTGAACATGACAAGGCAACGAGAAGAACAAAGACTTCGTTGTAGCCATCACTTATTGTTTAGAGGGAAAGAAAAATGGAAACATAATAGTGGGATAATAAAGACAAATATTATCGAATGTCTTATACTGTGTGTGTGTGTGCGTGCGTGTGTGTGTGTGTGTGTGTGTGTGTGTGTGTGTGTGTGTGTGTGTGTATAATGCACTACACTTTATTAAGTCTGATTACGTGCACTGAAAATCAGGAATTACATATTTTATAGATTAACTAAATAAATAATGGAAGACATCATTCTTACCTTCAACGTATTCCTGATAGGCTTCAAATATGGATTCAATCCCTTGCCACTTGGAAGTTGGCGCTGCCTCTTCCTCCCCCTCCTCCTCTTCGTCATCGTCCTCCTCTGAGGCAGACAGGTCCTCCCTCGTCCCTGAGGCGTCGCGGTGGAGCGATGCGGAGAAGTGTTGCCCGTTGGGCTGAGGGTGAGTGTGAGCTAGTGCGAGAGCTGACTGATGCGTGTTCGAGTGTGACTGGGAATGCGGCGGAGGCGGCCTCCCAGGGGTGCTCTGGAGCTCGGGAATGTTGTAATGCACAGAGGACTCCTGCAGGGGAGAAGATTCGGACATCCCGGTGGCCCCGCCTGAAAACACAAGGATGGGTTTTTAAACTTCTAAAGGAATGGAGGGACGGATGAATATGAGACTTTCTGAGCCAATGATTGCCAATATTTTATCAAAGAAGAGTCTAATATGCTGGAAAAGATAAAACAGAGAATATAACAGCACTTGTCATAATGTCCCACAGCCAAAGGTGACTTAGCGACTTTAAAGTGGTCGTCAGTAATGCGAGCTTTGAGAAATCACGATGGAAGTCCTTGTCCTCTCGTTTCAAATAAATGTCTCTTTAGACACGCTCACTGAATGAGGTAACAAAGGTCATTCACAGGACCACGTCAAATGATGGGAGCCACAGGAAAGATATAAAAATGCCAATTATTGCATTTCGTAATAAGAGCGTAAGAAGTAGAGCTGTAATAACACATTGGTTTCCTATCTTGATTTGTGACCCATATTGATTTGTTGAGCAAATCTCAAAAGCCAAAATCAAAACTCTTGTGAAAAACAGTATTATACTATACTGTAATCATCCATTCATCCACACAAACATCCATTTTCTGAACCACTTATCCTAGATATCAATATTCTAGGCCACTCCTCCCAGCTGATGCATGGTAAGCCTTAAAATCAATTAGCGGCTCTGTTTAGCTAAAACTGTAGCATTATTTTGCATAATTTTCTCTTTAAACACTATTTTGCTCTTCAAAGTTGGACATGCTTCACATAAACATGGTTCCAATCAAACTTGAATGTGAATCGTGTACTTCATCACCCAAGCACTTAATGCCACCCTTTCATGATAACATTAGGTTATCTGAGCAATTAGCATGGCTTCCCCATCTTTTCCCCAGTTAATTACACCTTATAATACCCGCGTGAGAACGATACTTGAAAGAAGTGTAGCTTATTCCCTGCCATGAAGGCTATGGCTACAGAATTAGAGCGAAACAGGCAACACGTTTGGCCGCGGTAGTCGCTATCCGCAGATCGTTGCTAGCTAGCCGGTACAGCGTAAGTAGCACGGATCGTGCCTAAACCTGCCCATTATCCCCGTGCCAGTAATGTAAGCGTGTCACGGCTATGTCTCGCCAAGCAAGGCTTTTGGGGACTGTTTCTGCCATTGAACTATTGGAAAAGTAGTTTTGCTATTCATTGTGTTTTGATGAGGCGCAAAATGCAAATTTAGCCATGCAAACTGCTAGGCAAAACCACTTATTTCTAGCCTTGTGTAGTTTGAAGAAGTTAGAATACGCAGCATGTGTGAGGGGCCCATTTTTTTTTTTTTTTTTTTAAGAGTTATTAATAATTGTGGGCTTGTTTTGCTAGTTCATGCTTTCCCAAAGTTGTAGTAATTATGTGCATTCACCCCTTGAGGGGCCCTTTTTTTTTTTTTTTTTTGGAAAAGAGTTATTAATAATTGTGGGCTTGTTTTGCTAGGTCATTCTTTCCCAAAGTTGTAGTAATTATGTGCATTCACCCACCTTGTTATCTATTTATGTCCATTAAATGCTAGATTTAATTTTGCATCGTATATTTGTCATGTATGATGGATGACCATGTATCAGGATTATGTCACTGTCTCTTGTTCAGTCTGCCACCTGGTGGCAGCTGTGTGGAACTGAGTAATTTGTCATGTATGATGGATGGCCATGTATCAGGATTATGATGTCACTGTTTCTTGTTTAGTCTGCCACCTGGTGGCAGCTGTGTGGAACTGAGTGAAAACTACCCCATCAAATCAAGATGCCTCTGTGACTCTTGGAGTAACTGTCTCGTTACAGGTTTTGTAAGAACACGAGCTAACATGAATTCAGGAAAAAAAATCTGAAGGATTGGAAGCAATTTTGCCCCCACTGGTCAACACGCAATGCTTACCTTTGTGTTTTTGCAGTGCTTTCTGAGTGGACTGCAGCACAGATTCATGGAACTGCTGGGCAAATTCCTCCGGGGTGAAGCTGTCCCAGGGTTTGGTGCGTCCATTCATGCTGTGGACACCCTCCTTAGCCTGTAGAGGGAGCGGGGGCCGCAAGCTGTTCAGCAGGCTGGAACTCCTCCTGGAGATTGGCCCCTCGGTAGGCCCCCGAGCCTTGTCTGGGTAGACAGCTGGAGAAGGAGGATCCTTTGGTCTTAGCGTGTCCCCAAGGGTTTTTGAATTGCCACTAGGGGATGGGGACAGCGGGCAATGTGAGGGGGGGCTATGCAGCCTGACACCGTGGTGGTCTTCTGATTCTGAGGTGGGTTGGGAGCAGGCAGAATCTGAAACAATGTGAGCATATTTTAGGCCATGTCAACTCATACAACTTGGTGTGCATTTTGATTTTCTCCATGAAGGGTTACAGAGTGAGCTGGAGCTGATCGTAGCTGACTCTGGGTAAGAGGCAGGGCACGCCCTGGACTGGTCATCAGTCAGTCGCAGGGGCATTTTAGCTTTTACTTTTAGGTTTTGGGAAACGGACTATTCTGGGCCTCAGTTAAATGGTCCACATTTTCTGTTTTGTCTCTTTGGCATGGGTATTTCTTTCTCTCCATCTGCTTTTTTGTGAATGTCTTTTCATGACAGTTTCTTTTTTGCAATGGACAGAGATTTTATCCATCCACCCATTTTCCGAACCGCTTTATCCTCACAAGGGTCGCGGGGCGTGCTGGAGCCTATCCCAGCTGTCTTCGGGCAGTAGGCGGGGGACACCCTGAACTAGTTGCCAGCCAATCGCAGGGCACACAGAGACGAACAACCATCCGCGCTCACACTCACACCTAGGGACAATTTTGAGTGTTCAATCAGCCTGCCATGCATGTTTTTGGAATGTGGGAGGAAAACGGAGGACCCGGAGAAAACCCACAGGCACGGGGAGAACATTCAAACTCCACACAGGAAGGCCGGAGCTGGGATCGAACCCAGTGCCTCTGCACTGTGAAGTCGACACATTAAAACGCATTCACTCCCAAAGATGTTTTTAAACGTCTTTTCAGACTTGCTCCACAATTGGCTGGTACTGAATGAGTTAACTACTCGACTATCGGCTGCCCCAGAGATTTTATTTAGTGCAGAAATGTATGCCTGCACATGTTGGTTCTTTGGAAGAATACGTGCACCTTTATAAAGTGAATAAACTTGCTCATGCAATTCTTTAGGAATGGGGAAGTGTTTCATGTGTCTCACCAGAGAGTTGCGCTGGGGGGCTTTTGCACAGCGGATGAGGGGCATGTCTGATGGTATCCAATGTTATACTCTTCTCTTTAATTGCTTGAAGCAGCTCCACTGCCCTTTCACTATCTACAAGGTGGAAAAAGAGTACAAACAAAACGAATTGACAGAATTTCACAAGCTTCGAGTTTCCTTAAACCGTGCATACTTTGACAGGCACTGTATTGTCATTTGTAGGCACGAAAGAGTAATATAAGGGCTCATGAATCAACAGTCCACTCAAACTAAGGTAAGAGTGCATTATGCATGCATCTTATATACGCTGTTAATAATACAGGAAAGTGAGGGTGAGATGATGGTATTTGGAGTCAACATGTTAATGAGAGGCGGCTGCATTTGAAGCAGACAGCGCTCGACTGAAGTGAAGCGTCAGCGAGCTGTGGAGCCCGCTGAGAACGACTACAATGGCCGGAGAGCTAATGAGCATGAGATGGTTCTGCTTTGCTCTGCTGGAATGAGATGTAACACAGATATGAGTCAATGATGAAGATGTCAGCGGGGCGTGTAAAGGGCGCTCTGTCGATGCTGTGAAGTTTAAATGATACATCACTGTAGCACATGGGAGGGGGGGGAGATGCAAAACACCAACTGATGGGATGAAACAATCTAAAAATATGACAGTGTCTCGCCTCTTCTCTGCTGAAGGGTGACATGGGAAAGTCTGAACATAGTGAGGAAGCGCTTCTTTTCCTCCAGCTCTGGTGCTCGGTCCATCTCCTCAGGGGTGAAGCGCGTGCTGAGTTGCGGGGGAGGAGCTGTGCGTTTCGACTGTGAGGCAGCTGGTGAGGGACTACGCTCCCTGAGCATTCGTCGCCGCTTTCTTCTTTTCTGCTGCACCAGCTCCTCCCGCCGGCACAGAGTGGTTAGGCTGAACATTCCCAGGAAGTCCAATTTCTGCACAGAAATAATGTTTCAAAAATGAATGGTTCTGCCAAGTCAAAGGTTCTTGTTTGTGTTTTGGTGGGTGTCGTACCTCGGTGGAGTCATCAAGTTTGAGTGGGGGCTGCTCTGCTACCCTTCTGAGATGTGCCCTCACCTCCTCCTCATCACTTTCATCATATGAGTCATCCAGCTCATAGTAGTAACCTGCAGAGAACATGCAGGTCATCATAGTTTGTCCTGGTTTCAGGAGTACACTTGCAGTATGCAATTCATAAAAATGTTATATACAGTACATACTAGGGGCTCAACCGACTAGTCGACGTGTTGACTCTACCATTCCGCAATGATGGTTGTAGCTAGAAGTCAATTCAACACCGATCATGTGTTCTGGCTTTAACAACTCGGACGCCACGCTCAAAGCAACGGTTGTTGGGTCCGCAGAGTAAAGTAGCAGTGCTGTCTCAAGGGTGTGGAATTATTTTATTAAAAGTGAGACAGGAGCACGGTCCCCTGAAAAATATGCAAGTCTATCCTCAAACCAAAAAACAAAAAAAAAGCAAATGTCTCTGCATCTGAAAAGGCATCCACTAACGCAAGTTGACAAACAGACTAAATTCTAACATCAATCGTCAGTTCGCCAAACTTCTTGCTGAAAAAGAAAAAAAGAGAGAGGACATAGCGTTTGCTTTCTCGATGAAATGAGGACGAGCGGCGGTTATTTAACGTTTTTGTTGTGAAAATGAATGGTTCCCGCTGGTCCGACAACAAACAACCCCCCGCCCCCAAAAAAAAATCCAATTCGCGTTTCGTTCAACCCTTCATCCCTGACCTGCAGACACACGAGACGGCTCAGCTCTCAACTCACTCATCCAATCACAAATCACATTCGACCACATCTTCATTGCTTAGCAGGCAGACGGAACTTGGAGAACTCAAGCAATAATCCACACAATTGCAGTTTATTGCAAGACATGAGTGCATAAACGTTTTCCCCTCATATTATTTGTAGTTTTTAAGAAATGATCGTACTGTTGAGAGCAGCTACCCTGCAGTTTAAGGAATTGTTGTTAGACTTCTTCAATTTCAATCTTCTTTCTGTATGCGAAGTGTCTGAATGTAAGATGTGATAAGTGAGTAGGGCGTTGAAGCGACTGAACCCGGAAAAGAGCATATGCCTTTGATTGGGAGAGTGAGCTTGAATTTGGAGGCTGAAGGCAAACAGTTGCCCACTGATGAATCAACTCTGATTTGACTATTATCGTGTTGACTACAAAAAAAAAAATGTTGGCACACTTTTTGCCAACGACACCAAATCACGCCTGCCTGAGTTGAACTGAACCCCTCAGTGAAGTGTGTCATCACAAAGTGTTGTGTGACGACTGCGGGAGTACCTTTCTCCTTGGCTTCCCTCTTCCTCTTCTCCTCCAAATCCAGTTTACTGACCGGCCTTCTGTGCTGTTGAAGAAGCTCGTCATAGATCAGCATTGTGTCTGGCGCCATTTCCAGTGAGGCTACCTGTCCTCCACCTGACCCAGACAACATGCCAACTGCTTGTCCGTGACGATTGTGGCCCTGCAGGCTCTTCAGTCCAGCACTGCTTTTGATTGCTCCTTCCATTTCATACTGGCTGGTCAGGGACATGGACGCCCGCTGCTGGTTGAAGAAAGAGTGGGTGGATTTCTCCAGATCGGCAAGGAATGTACTGGGCTCCGGTAGGCCAGGTGGCCCTCTGGGTTGCAAATACTTCTCCATTGCCCCACTATCTCTCCTTCTGGCCCCATCCTCATACTTGGAGGGGCCGGACGGTAGCCGACTGAGCTCATAGTGTCCCATCCCTGAGGGATCATGGGTGCGTCGAGACTCTGAGGGTGTCTCTATTAGAGATGCTGGGTTCCACAGAGTTGTGGGAGGTGGAGGGTGGTGTTCGCGTGGCGGCTGGGAGGGTTTGGGGGAGATGAGTGGCGGAGGGGCACCTAAATGGGAATGGAGTTCTCGGCTTCCTGGTTCATGGTTATTTGGTCTGCGAACACATAATGGAACACGTTTAGGCTTTGATTAGGGATAAAAAAAGTATCTATGATATGCATTCAACACACATCACTAGATGCCTTGCATTGTGTGAGCGTGCACACAAAATCTTGTTATCAAGCACAGACGCAGTAGCCCAGAGCAAAGAGGGGATATGGCCAAGGCACACTATGTCCTCCAGATATAATTGGTCATTTTTTATCTAAGGCGGGTGGACCACATTTATAGAAGTCAAAGAGATATTCTTGAGATATTAAATGACAGAAAAGGATTACGGGATAACAATTAGGCTTCCATTTTCCATCTTTTAGGAGGGAAGAACTTGTGCTGAATGGCAAAGTCAAGAACAATGTGTGCTGCAGCCTCACACATTCTTAAAGCTGATAGGGGGTAGGTATGAGTAGGTATTCATCAATATGCTCCCCAAATGTGAAAACTAAAAACACTCAGGTACTGTTTGTTGTATAAAAAAAAAGACAAAAGGCCACTAAAATTTGCAGTTGAAATATATGTCTTTGTTGTGTTTAAAAGCAGTGGAGCGTGATGGTTTCAGGGAAACAGCAGCAGTCGCGAAAGAAAGGCAAACAGACACAGATTAAAACGTACAGTATTGGCAAACCTGGCAGTAGAATTAGAACATACTACTACTACTAAAGAACTACTATAAGAGCAGCCAAATTATCAGTGCCCCCGACCTCTGTTGACATTTGTGCGAGTGACACTAAAAGTGCGTTATCTGCAATCTGCAGCCTATCATGTCAGTCAGGGATTACACCATCGAATTAGTGACAGTAGATGTGCATCTCTCTGCTGTCCTACGAGTTCAGTATTAACCACAACCCGACTCCTTGTCAGACACACAAACAACACATGCACGGAACAAAGGAGAGGACGTAGGAGGCTTATGCTGTGCCAGGTTGACAGGATTAGTCAAGAATCTGCCTTTGTGTAGCTTAGCCGTCCCACCCGCTGCCTGTCTGAAACCAAACCAACCACAACTCATGAAACAGCAGTTATCAGGACCCCACTTTGCACTCGTTATCAGGACCCCACTTTGCACTCTGCATCATCGTCTAAACATAGCTGTCAGTCTTGCCCGCATGTCGGACACACAAGCTGGCGTGGACAGAAATAGAGTCAATGCGATTCTTCTGACAGGGTTGATCTTTTTCCAGTGCTGTCTGAAAACCACTCTCTGAAGCTCGTCATCCTTGGAAACGTCAAACCGGTGGCACCACCACTCTCCCCATCTCGGCCCTCGACGCACACACTAGTCTGTGTGGCAGCTCGAGAAAATTATTTGATGAATTACTGACTCAATGTGAAGACAAATCACAATCAATTATTGATTCATCATATTTGGTTTTTTTTAAACTAATTTTTTTAAGATTTGTCCAGCACCCTGCTATGGCACTCGACAAATTGTGACCTCTGCTTGTTGCTGCCAAGTACAAAAGCCAATGATTATATTGCTTCAAGACAAACAGTTGACAGAAACATCCGGTCAAATTCAAATCATCATGCCCACCCCGAGGCTTTGCATTGGTTGACTGATGAACAAATATGCAAACAGTTTCTGCATGAATGGCGCAAGGTCATGACAAAGTCAACATTAAAATGGAAAGGCCTGCGTTCAATCCTCACCTGTGCAAGTCTGCTCTGTGTTCCGGTGCATCAGGGTTCCGTCCTAAGTCCAGGTGCTGTTCCAGGACCTGCTGGCGGAATTCCGACACCTGGTACTGGCGATCTGCTTTCTCTTGCCGCAGCTTGCGTTGCCTTGCCAACCACCTCTCCTCCTCATTGTTCCTGGGAGCGATTATGGAGGTTGGGAGACCTGTCCCCACTGCACTGGGCCCCATGTAGAGGCTGTGGCCTGAGATTAGCCCAGGGACTGTATGATGCGATTGTACCATTGCAGAATGGAGTCCTGGCGGGACCGGTTTTGGAGCGGGCAGGGGCGGATCTTTGGTTCTATCTGTAAACAGACAGAAAGATCTTTGGTTATGTGGAATGGTGTTGAGAAACAAAATGGCGGGGCAACGGTGGCAGCGGAGACACGTACCAGCCCGATTAGGGGTGAGTTTTTCTGGCTTACTTCGGTCCTCCTGCCCTCTCATGGCATGGAGTTCAGACAAGTAGTGGCTCTCCATAGCCTTGGAGGCTTGAATCTCTTTCTCTCTCAGCGCTCTCTCCTTTTGCCTTTCCAGTTCCTTTTCTCTTTCTCTCTCCTTTTCCCTCTCTCTTTCTCTCTCTCTTTCCCGCTCCCGTTCTCGTTCCCTTTCTCGCTCCCGTTCTCGCTCCCTTTCCAGCTCGCGCTCCCTCTCGCGCTCCCGTTCTTTCTCTCTCTCAGCCTCCCGCTCCCGCTCCTTTTCGCGCTCCCGTTCTCGTTCCCTCTCGCGCTGCCGCAGCTCATCCTCCAGCTGAAGCCTTGAGGGAAAAGTAGACAGGCGACCAGATGTAAAGGAGCAGGATGATTTAGATATGGAAAAAAAAATGGAATCACATTGACTATACTGTACAATACACTCTTGTATTTGTATGTCAAAAGCAATAAGACTTTACCTCTCAGACTGCAGTGCTGAAAGTGAAGGGTGTGTGAAGTCTCCAGGGTAGCGGACCCCTGATAAGTGCATATGAACTGCAGACGGATGGATGGGGGGTAAAGCTCCCCCTGCTGGTAGTGGATAGAAAGGTGACCTCAAAGCCGTGAGGCAGAATGGGTCATCCATCCTGGGAGATGAGCATTGCATGACAAAAAACAAAAACAAAACAAAACATAGCGTCAGTCTCGCCTTGGAACAGCACACCACTCACTGTTGTTAACCTTTGTGCGTTTGTCTCTTCAAAGAAGAACAAGAGTGTCTTCTCTCTCTCTCAAGAAAGCAGCAGTGGCTGTCAGCTAGCCTCAATCACTGCACAGCAGCTGTCAGAGCCGGTGTTATGTTACAACGGTGTGTTGCTTGTGTATATCGGTGACATCCACAGCTCATCCCCTCATTAAACCCATTACAGTGCAGTATGTGATGGCTGCTGCACTTCTCTGATGTTGCAAGGCTGACAGGAGGAAGGGGGGAACGCAGTTGATGTGGAGGCCTGAAGCAAGAAGGGCCCTTCAATGTACACATACACACACACACACACACACACACACACACACACACATCCTGCTAGCCAAAGTCATCCATAATTTAGCGCCAAAATGATCCCATTTGGGAAAAGAAATTGTGCTGCGGGTATTTTTTAAGTGACCACTACTGTTCTTGGAAAGGTCTAGACCAGGGGTGTCAAACATACGGCCCGCGGGCCGGATCCGGCCCGCGGGCCGTATGTTTGACACCCCTGGTCTAGACTATAGTAGAAATTTAGATTATGCCACAATAATAACACAAATTCTACACTACGACATTCATTTGCAAATGTTTATTTTTCACCGTTGTACCAGCCCAACGAAGGAAGATGCAACCCCAAAGCGGCCCTTGACAAAAATGAGTTTGACACCCCTGGTCTAGACTATAGTAGAAATTTAGATTATGCCACAATAATAACACAAATTCTACACTACGACATTCATTTGCAAATGTTTATTTTTCACCGTTGTACCAGCCCAACGAAGGAAGATGCAACCCCAAAGCGGCCCTTGACAAAAATGAGTTTGACACCCCTGGTCTAGACTATAGTAGAAATTTAGATTATGCCACAATAATAACACAAATTCTACACTACGACATTCATTTGCAAATGTTTATTTTTCACCGTTGTACCAGCCCAACGAAGGAAGATGCAACCCCAAAGCGGCCCTTGACAAAAATGAGTTTGACACCCCTGGTCTAGACTATAGTAGAAATTTAGATTATGCCACAATAATAACACAAATTCTACACTACGACATTCATTTGCAAATGTTTATTTTTCACCGTTGTACCAGCCCAACGAAGGAAGATGCAACCCCAAAGCGGCCCTTGACAAAAATGAGTTTGACACCCCTGGTCTAGACTATAGTAGAAATTTAGATTATGCCACAATAATAACACAAATTCTACACTACGACATTCATTTGCAAATGTTTATTTTTCACCGTTGTACCAGCCCAACGAAGGAAGATGCAACCCCAAAGCGGCCCTTGACAAAAATGAGTTTGACACCCCTGGTCTAGACTATAGTAGAAATTTAGATTATGCCACAATAATAACACAAATTCTACACTACGACATTCATTTGCAAATGTTTATTTTTCACCGTTGTACCAGCCCAACGAAGGAAGATGCAACCCCAAAGCGGCCCTTGACAAAAATGAGTTTGACACCCCTGGTCTAGACTATAGTAGAAATTTAGATTATGCCACAATAATAACACAAATTCTACACTACGACATTCATTTGCAAATGTTTATTTTTCACCGTTGTACCAGCCCAACGAAGGAAGATGCAACCCCAAAGCGGCCCTTGACAAAAATGAGTTTGACACCCCTGGTCTAGACTATAGTAGAAATTTAGATTATGCCACAATAATAACACAAATTCTACACTACGACATTCATTTGCAAATGTTTATTTTTCACCGTTGTACCAGCCCAACGAAGGAAGATGCAACCCCAAAGCGGCCCTTGACAAAAATGAGTTTGACACCCCTGGTCTAGACTATAGTAGAAATTTAGATTATGCCACAATAATAACACAAATTCTACACTACGACATTCATTTGCAAATGTTTATTTTTCACCGTTGTACCAGCCCAACGAAGGAAGATGCAACCCCAAAGCGGCCCTTGACAAAAATGAGTTTGACACCCCTGGTCTAGACTATAGTAGAAATTTAGATTATGCCACAATAATAACACAAATTCTACACTACGACATTCATTTGCAAATGTTTATTTTTCACCGTTGTACCAGCCCAACGAAGGAAGATGCAACCCCAAAGCGGCCCTTGACAAAAATGAGTTTGACACCCCTGGTCTAGACTATAGTAGAAATTTAGATTATGCCACAATAATAACACAAATTCTACACTACGACATTCATTTGCAAATGTTTATTTTTCACCGTTGTACCAGCCCAACGAAGGAAGATGCAACCCCAAAGCGGCCCTTGACAAAAATGAGTTTGACACCCCTGGTCTAGACTATAGTAGAAATTTAGATTATGCCACAATAATAACACAAATTCTACACTACGACATTCATTTGCAAATGTTTATTTTTCACCGTTGTACCAGCCCAACGAAGGAAGATGCAACCCCAAAGCGGCCCTTGACAAAAATGAGTTTGACACCCCTGGTCTAGACTATAGTAGAAATTTAGATTATGCCACAATAATAACACAAATTCTACACTACGACATTCATTTGCAAATGTTTATTTTTCACCGTTGTACCAGCCCAACGAAGGAAGATGCAACCCCAAAGCGGCCCTTGACAAAAATGAGTTTGACACCCCTGGTCTAGACTATAGTAGAAATTTAGATTATGCCACAATAATAACACAAATTCTACACTACGACATTCATTTGCAAATGTTTATTTTTCACCGTTGTACCAGCCCAACGAAGGAAGATGCAACCCCAAAGCGGCCCTTGACAAAAATGAGTTTGACACCCCTGGTCTAGACTATAGTAGAAATTTAGATTATGCCACAATAATAACACAAATTCTACACTACGACATTCATTTGCAAATGTTTATTTTTCACCGTTGTACCAGCCCAACGAAGGAAGATGCAACCCCAAAGCGGCCCTTGACAAAAATGAGTTTGACACCCCTGGTCTAGACTATAGTAGAAATTTAGATTATGCCACAATAATAACACAAATTCTACACTACGACATTCATTTGCAAATGTTTATTTTTCACCGTTGTACCAGCCCAACGAAGGAAGATGCAACCCCAAAGCGGCCCTTGACAAAAATGAGTTTGACACCCCTGGTCTAGACTATAGTAGAAATTTAGATTATGCCACAATAATAACACAAATTCTACACTACGACATTCATTTGCAAATGTTTATTTTTCACCGTTGTACCAGCCCAACGAAGGAAGATGCAACCCCAAAGCGGCCCTTGACAAAAATGAGTTTGACACCCCTGGTCTAGACTATAGTAGAAATTTAGATTATGCCACAATAATAACACAAATTCTACACTACGACATTCATTTGCAAATGTTTATTTTTCACCGTTGTACCAGCCCAACGAAGGAAGATGCAACCCCAAAGCGGCCCTTGACAAAAATGAGTTTGACACCCCTGGTCTAGACTATAGTAGAAATTTAGATTATGCCACAATAATAACACAAATTCTACACTACGACATTCATTTGCAAATGTTTATTTTTCACCGTTGTACCAGCCCAACGAAGGAAGATGCAACCCCAAAGCGGCCCTTGACAAAAATGAGTTTGACACCCCTGGTCTAGACTATAGTAGAAATTTAGATTATGCCACAATAATAACACAAATTCTACACTACGACATTCATTTGCAAATGTTTATTTTTCACCGTTGTACCAGCCCAACGAAGGAAGATGCAACCCCAAAGCGGCCCTTGACAAAAATGAGTTTGACACCCCTGGTCTAGACTATAGTAGAAATTTAGATTATGCCACAATAATAACACAAATTCTACACTACGACATTCATTTGCAAATGTTTATTTTTCACCGTTGTACCAGCCCAACGAAGGAAGATGCAACCCCAAAGCGGCCCTTGACAAAAATGAGTTTGACACCCCTGGTCTAGACTATAGTAGAAATTTAGATTATGCCACAATAATAACACAAATTCTACACTACGACATTCATTTGCAAATGTTTATTTTTCACCGTTGTACCAGCCCAACGAAGGAAGATGCAACCCCAAAGCGGCCCTTGACAAAAATGAGTTTGACACCCCTGGTCTAGACTATAGTAGAAATTTAGATTATGCCACAATAATAACACAAATTCTACACTACGACATTCATTTGCAAATGTTTATTTTTCACCGTTGTACCAGCCCAACGAAGGAAGATGCAACCCCAAAGCGGCCCTTGACAAAAATGAGTTTGACACCCCTGGTCTAGACTATAGTAGAAATTTAGATTATGCCACAATAATAACACAAATTCTACACTACGACATTCATTTGCAAATGTTTATTTTTCACCGTTGTACCAGCCCAACGAAGGAAGATGCAACCCCAAAGCGGCCCTTGACAAAAATGAGTTTGACACCCCTGGTCTAGACTATAGTAGAAATTTAGATTATGCCACAATAATAACACAAATTCTACACTACGACATTCATTTGCAAATGTTTATTTTTCTGGTTGTAGCTTGCAGTTGCTTACAACTGCACAACAATACATTTCTCCATATTTAGCAACATGACAGGGTCAAGAAGTCAGATGGCCCTCGCATTATGATGCAATGAAGTTCTACACTAACATACACAACAAACCACAATGATTAAGATTTATCTGATCGTGTTAAAATTGAAAAGTTTTTTTTCTTTTTTTTTCGATAATACAGCTCAATAGAAACCTAGTGAAGTGGCTGCATTCTTGTGTGTAGTTGTGTAGTGTAGTTCACAAAAATTGTAATGTTAACCACTGTACTTGTAACTGGTGCCTTGACTCGAGTTTTTCGTGAAACGAAGCGATGCTTTGACGATATTTTGCTTTGACTCGCTAGCAAAAATTTGAGATACAAGAGCTATGTGGTAGCAGCAAACTGCTGCTGTTTCCTCTTCTTCAGTCAAAATGCCAAAGCTTGCACATTTTATTCAAAGGGCAGAGACATGTCAAAACACCAAAACGTTTGTATGAAGTGGCCCACCTGTACGGGGTGAAGGAGGGGTGGGGCAAGTAGCTGGGATGGTAGTAGGCAGCGGCGGCAGCTGCAGTGGCGGGGTCCAGGCCCAATGGCAAAGAGGGCATGCGGAGGGCATCCTCAGTTGTGGCATAGGGCCTGAAACCACGGAGGTACTCTTCTGGCACAGGACCAGGCGGCACGGCATTAGGCAACTGTCTAGGAAGGCTGTAAATATCATCAAAAGGAGGGAGTTGAAGTGCAGGGCAAATTGTAACAGTTTAAAGCCATTGTCCTAATACAAATAGTATGTTGGCTAAAAAATCTTATCCCAAAGTTTCAAACATATTCAAAACAGGGAAACACGCACTTGAGGGGCTGGAAACGTGAATCCTGCATCACAGCGCCAGTGGGGAGACCAAAAGCATACGGGTTTCCCAGGAGGTGGGCAGGGACTGAGGGGCCCTTTTCTTGGGGGAGGGTCCCCTCGGCACCCAGCCGTTCCCTGCTGGCCCCACGAGGTCCGGAATCAGCCTGGGGGAGAGATGCAACGAGATTCTTATTCATTGTTTGAGCAGACATGTGACCGACACGCTTGTCAGTGTTGATGGAGCCCATCCTGTGAGAAGGGGGAAAGAGGATTGGGTCTTATTCAGAAGTCTCTTCCACAGGCTCTGTTTACAGCTCAAGTACAGTACATGCAGCATTCCCTTACAAATATAAAACCCCTTCACCATTTCTCTGAGGATGCATGCCGTTGAATGAAACAGTAGAAAACAAAGGCGACCCCAAGTGGGACAAGCCGAAAGTCATAACGACGACATCTAAGCGAGAAATGTCATCCTGGTGATCGATATGAATGTGATAATGTACAACACAAACACAATAAGAAATTCCTGCATTGTGTGTGTCCAGCTTCCACACAACAACATCTACAGGGAAGGCAACATCCAAAGCGAAACATCCCGCTGCCTGTTTTTCTTGTCAATCCAACATCTCTGTCACCTCCCTCTCTGCCTTTGGCGGCAAGCTTGGACTCACTTATCCAATTCCACACACACACACACACGTGCACGCGCACGCGCACGCGCACGCACACGCACACTGTTTCAGAGCTACAAAGACATCCCGCTGTGGGAGTGGGAGTGCGCTTTCTGAAAGCTTTGGTTCCTCTTTGGCAACAAATGCAATTGCTGAACAGAGAATCTTGCAACCTTTGTAAGTTGTACAAGGAAACAGTTTATGGGGGGGAGGGAGGGGTGAGCATAGTGAGAAGAGGAAGAACAGCTCTCTCCCGCAAAATGAGACTTGAAGCAAGGGAGGGGTGGAGGGGTAGATAGTAATGAATGCGGGAGAGGAAACGATAGTTGTTGCCCCCACTAAATTAACCTCTGGTCCAGGCAGGATTAGAGAGAAACCTTGCAACAGCACTACCCTAAGTGTCACCGATAAAACAAATCCCATTTAGTGAGGCATTACCCTCTGCATTGTGTTTTTGCAACCGGTGACCCAGGCTGACACTGACGTGCAACATCCATCCTCAAATGCACCCACGTTTCCTCCCCAGATCTTTCTTTGTTTCTTGAATTGGTGCAATGCCTGGATCATGATGACCATCAGAATCAACTCTTCTTTTCCACAGAAATCCTATCATAAGACGATGCAAAAAAGCACTGCAGTGCTGCTGCAATTCTGCGGCTGCTTTACCACTGTCACACTGTCCCTGTTTCATCAAAGTAACAAAAGCACAACAAAAACAAAAGTATACATGGGAATGATTAAGCAAGGTTAATCAGCTCCAAGAAAACGATTTTTCTGTTTGCAATATCAAAATTGTACAAGGATATACGCGGCTGTACCAGAGAGACACGTTATGTTGCCCATTAGAACGACACCCTCATTCACCCAGGCACTAGGACACCAATGCAGACATTACACTTTGACCATTGACGTCTCTATCAGCAGCTTGTCACACATGTACACATTTGTGCAAGCGCGCAGTCTTGAAGACACCATCCATTTACAGCCATCTTCCTCGGAGCGAGCCAGGCCCCGTAACCTTCAGTGGCTGGGAGACCCTACACATTGTCGAGTGCTCCTTTACTCCTCTCAGATGGAACCCTGACTCTAAATTGCCAATTAAAAAGCAATTACTGCCCGCAGCGGGAGTAGAATCCTGCAGTCATTAAAGCAAAATGCCAACGCACCAAACCCTCTCTCCATCACTGCTTTGGCCATTACCCCCCCATGAAAGACTGCCTCATATAAGGGACGCTGAATAGAAAGCAGAGCTTATATTGTATGTTAACACAGCAACAAACAAGCTTTTATTAGAGACTGTAAAGGGGCTTTGAGATAACACCACCGCCTCCATGCTAACCATTTTCTTTGAATTGGGTGACCTCTATGGCCATGCGGCTCTCTTTGAACAGGATTTTTGTGCTCTCTCAAGTGGCATCGCAGCCGGATAGTTCTACATCTCTATCTTTTGCATCCCCAGTATTGCACACACCCACCCCTGCTTCTTTCTCCACATCAATTGCCTCGCCATCTTCATTCTTCTGCTCCACAAAGCTGCCGGAGGCCCCACAAACCCGGTGACATGACCTCCTCAATTCTAGCTTGACCTCTTTCAGACACAGGCACATAAACTTGTAAATTAACAAATGGCGGTATTTACATTGAGGAAAGGGTGTTTTTGAGTTGACTGGCCGAAACGGTGACACACTTGAACGGCAATAGACACTCCCTCCCCTCCAACTTCAGGCTGACCCTTGAACCCTGCTAGTGTTATTTTGTTCTAAAAGCCATCGCTAAGCCAAGTGAGGGTCACTGGGGTGGGGGATCTGAGGTGGGTGTCCGGGCGAGAGGACAATGCCCAGAATGAACTTGCATATTTCCAAATGTGTGACCTCCACACTGACTGTTTGCTAAAAGAAGCCCTGCCGATCCCCTTCGTCCTCTCTCCCTATCCCCATCTCTTCATGACCATCAAACAGACCATTTTGTGCACAGTGCCAGGCAAGTGCTGTCCATAACCGTGTGCTTGGCCTCCACCATTAGCCCTGATCTGAGATAAGAAGGCTTAAAGCAAGGCCATAATCCATAATCCACTCCTTATCAAAGCAAGCAGCTCTCCCTCCCTGCCTCTTTCTAATGCCCCACTACATAGCAGCGACCGTGTGTCAGGACTCATGAGGTGAGGATGCATTTGACTGCGTGGGTGGGAAGTTGGCACTAAAAGTGTAGTTGGAGGATGATGAAGAGCCTAAAGAATGTGGACTTTGCAGGATCTGCTCTGAGGAGAAGAGGAAGGCCGTCCAATGGGCAACTTGCATTGTTTAAGTCAGAGAGCCAAGGGGGGCACGAAAGGTGGGTAAGTGGTGGCATGATAGTGAACTCGGGCAGATACTCATTACCACACTAGCTATCTCAAAAACACAAATGTCAAATTCAAACCACCAGAGTCACAGGTCAGAAAAAAAAAAAATCCATTAATCCCCCGTGAGCCTGTCTGCGTGCCGGCTTGTGCTAACTGGCAAGCTGAAGAAAAAACACCCCATCGCAGCTTCGAAGGCACATAAAGAAATAGAAGTCCTAAAAATAGAACAGCTTTCGTTAAAGGCTCTTTTTTTTTTTTTTTTTTTTTTTTGGTTGTTTTGCTTACCTGGCGTCCCTCGCTCCTCCAGAGGCCGTTGCTTGTCTTGGTTGGAGCAATGGTGACGACGGGTGGAGTGTTTGGCACGTTGTGGCCTGCTGGGGGAACCAGAACAGGCCCTGGACCGAGAGGACCCCTTTTGGGCGTACTGACTGGAGAACTGTGGTTGGTGGCTGGCGACGACACTGGGGAGGATTCACTGCTGATAGACGAGGCAGCTGGGGAATGACAGTGAAGATTAGTGGGTTAAGTATGATATCATCCTTCTTTACACAAGAAGAATTGATTTGGACTGTAACATATCGCAATAGTGTGACCATCGAGCGCATATAGACACTCAGGAAGGGCACGATAAATGTATGCATCAAATTTTTATTGTTGAAGACTCCCTAGCTCATGTAGAATTTGATCCATTTAAAGTTCTTAGCAAAATGCGTGAAGCAAAGAAGCCATTAATCACGGATTATCCAACCAGCAGAGGGTGCAATTAATTCAGGCCCAACTCATTGGTTGATTGAACTTGCACTAAATAAATAAATCAATCAATCAAATAGATAGATAGATAGATAGATAGATAGATAGATAGATAGATAGATAGATAGACAGACAGATAGATAGATAGATAAGTAAATAGCTCTAACAGGATGTACAAGGTCTGTAGTGGTTCCATGAAGTGGTTTAGTTTGGAGTTTTGGGTTGTGCTGAAGTTGTTTTTCCAAGCATTCACATTTAATGTTTCTAATTTTCAAGGGAATGTAATTTCTTGGGAGGAAAGATGAAAGATGGAAAAAAAAAACAGACTTCTTCAGAATTGTCTTTTACAATTAATTTTCCAGAGTCATCGATCAAGACAATTTGTTTAAGTGCTCACTTTTCACAAAAGACAAAAAGCGGATTGTGACATTGTACAATGGCAACAGAAAACACACTTGAAAGGCCAGATGTATGGCCCTAGGCCACTATTATAAAGTGAGAGTGTTGAGAATGAGCAGCCACACCATGGAAACATTGCTTGAGAGTGAAACACTTGTTCTGAATGTACAGTATTGCCCATACCGGTAGAGTTGCAATTCCGCTACATGCGCGCGTGCGC